ACAGTTGTTCCTCTTTTTTCCCCCCATAGCTCGTGCACCAGGTTTTTCTGCTGCTACTTGCACTGGTTGCTTGTAGCTGGGCCCAAAGCTGGCATTTCCGGGGCTTGGCACCTCTGCCAGGGTTTCCTCCTCGGAGATCACCTGCCAGTTTTGCCCTAAGAATATCCACGCCAACAGGGAGAAGCGTCTGGTGCCTTGGGAAGGCGGTGGTCATGGCAGAGGGTGTCATGTGGGCATTAAAAGGCTCACGGGTTCTTTCATCTCAGCTTTGTCCGGGGAGATAAGCAAGTCCAGAATGCGAAACACCCTTGGATGTGAGCCACATGAGTCAGGCTTGTAAATTCCCCATCCCCGGCCTGCCTGCTGGGACTCTTGAGAAAGAGGGGTGTGGGGTGTGGGCCACCCTAAATTCCTTGCACATACGCTGGTTCCCTGTGTGCTCAGGGGCCCAGACAAAAGCCTTATCACGAAGCAAAAGGATCCTTTTGTTTAAAACGATTCCTCCCACCAAGTGTTTGGGCAGCATCCTTGGGACAAAGCCAGAGGGAAAAATCAAACTCAAGCTTGCCTTGAGCGATGTGACATTTTTACTCCCTCTGAGAGCTGTGATTTGCTATTGTGAGGAGAAAACAAATGAGCTAAACAAGATGTGTTCTGGGAGAGTTTTCATGAGTGGACTCCCCTGATTCCAAAGCCCCTCCCCCGCACCTTAAGGGAGACCTGGACCGACTCCACTTTTTTCCCAGAACCCCCTGCTTCCATCCGGCCGCACGAAGGCCACGGGCCACTGAAATTAACGATCTTGTTCCCCATCTCAAAATACACACTTGGGGGGTTGACAAGAATTGAGCACTCATTTTTGCCATTAACCATTATTTTGCTAATTTTTCAGGCTGTGCAGTTTTCAAGGAAAATTAAATCCCTATGCGCCGGATTCATTTTACACCAAACTCATCAAAATGTGGCTTTCAAGGCCCCTTTGAAGTCTTAAGACTAGACATGTGGTCCAGGGCCCGAGTGTTTACAAGCGCATCGGAAAGAGACATGTTAATTAAATGTTTCCTCTTCTTGGCAGCCTTGCTGATGAGTGCGGCACTGGGTTTCAGAGGAAACTGGATGAGGAGGAGGTAGGCATCTGGTGTCGACAGGGCAGGGCCCACCTGGCGTCTGCCTAACCTCCTTCGCCACTAAAGAGTGATGGTCCTGGCAGGGCAGGGCCAAGTGGACAGTGAGTGAGAAAGGGTCTGGCACCGGCCTGTCCAGGGTTAAGTTGCAGTTTTCACGGTGTTTGTACAAACAATAGCCGGTTCCCATAGCAGCCAGTCCAGGTGCAGATAAGAGCTGCCCGTGGCTCTAGCTGCTGACCACAGTGCACAGGTTCCACCGGGATGTCTTTGAAGTAACCGGCAGGGGACCGCCAGGCCCCGCTGTAGGAGGCAGTCACGGCAGCAGACAGCAGTGGCTGAGACTCACTGCTCCCCGTGGGATTTCATGTGATCCCCCAACCGCTGAGGGGGGCGCCCTCTGAGTGAAGCAGCCTCCCCGAGCCACATGGTGGGTGGCTGAGCCACTGTTCCAGCCTAAGGTGCCTGATGCCAAAGTCCACTCTGCCACCTGATAACGCTGCCTCCTGAACCCGCCCGGCTCCAACCAGGTAGAGACCAGTGGCTCTGCCTTGTGCACCTCTGGGGACAAGCCCAGCCTACTGTGGCCTGTCCAGACCTCCTGGGCAAAGCCTGCACCCCTCAAAGGCCACAGACCTTGTCGGGAATCCGGGCCCACAGGCTAGGCTGCTCCCTCCAGAAGGGGCAGGACAGACCCTCCTCCCCTCCCACCTGTCAGAGGTCAACAAATCGCCACCCTCATCAACAAAGGGGTGTCAGGAAGAGACACAGGGAAGGATCCAGAGTCCTTTCTGCCCACCTTTCCTTCCACCCCTCAACTCCAAGGTGGTGAGGGATGGGGTGGGGGGCAGCT